ACATATATATCGGTGTTAATGTCATAAGCGAAGACATTCGTTGTCAGAAAAAGAGACGAGACGTCAGAGATACCCGCAAATTCACAGGAATGTTGTTCCAGGTCAGGATCGTTCTGCTTTAGCTCGTGTGCCAACGAAGCAATGGGTAAATTTATATTTTCTTTAATAAGAAACGAATTACCATATAGTCAGCATTGACAAAAAGACACTGATTAGATTAGTTTGTGCATGTGAAACTAGTAGTATATCAGTCTACAAAAATTCAAACTGTTGAAAGTTTGATTTTTTAACAGTTTTATAGTTTTTCAACAGTTTTATAGTTACAGTTTTTCATATACGTTAGATAAATAATTATGGCCACTAGAGCACAAATCTGCTTCAGGACAAACTGAGATAGCAAGTGCACATAACATCTCACTTTGTTCTGCGTGAATGCTCTTATATTTATTATCAATTTATTATCATCTTATATTTATTATCTCTTATATTTATTATATTTATTATCAAGTTTCAAAAAAATGTATAATTTAAACGCATATAAGTTTCAGAGAATTCTGATAATTGTGAATGTTATTCTTTTTTATTTTATTATCGTAAATAATTTCTTTAGCGCCAAAGAATGACGAACATATTTATGAAATGCTGATCGATCAAGAATTTTGGAAATATCGATTAAGATATTCCAATGCTACTTATAATTCGTTTAATCTACATAGAACTGTAAAACTATTTAAAATAAAGCCAGAATTCTCAATACTTAATAAATACCTATAAAATAATGCGTAAAATTCACATGCATCAAAAGGAAAATCTAGAGATTTTTTTCGAGATCATTCACGAGAAATTCGTAAGAAACCGTGAATAGAGAATGTTGTTAGCTTTATGAGTTATTTTGTAATAATTGCACTAAATGTCTATTTATTTGTTAAATTTGGAAAGCATTCACTCATCTATCCAGCAATATTCGGATCATTGTTTTTGATTGTATAGATGAAACCTCTATAATCTACTTCAATTTCGTGTCCTCGATAGTAATCCTATCACGTGCCGACCGTCGCGAAGGTTCGAAGTGCATGATCTACGATTGCATTTTATCGCGAACACTGAACGTATTGTGCCTGTTTACGAAGTGAAGCCCATGAATGCATTCTATGAGTTTCACAATACAAAGCAAAGCGCAATAAAAGCGGCTTTGGACGAAGGTGTCACGGTTTTGAATTTTATTCATCATTTTTCGTTTTTTCTCTAATTGATATGCATATAAACTAATGTTTCCTGATTTTTTAAATTTATTTATCTGACAAAAATTACAATTGTATTATTTTTTTCGGTAAAAAGAAAAATATATCTCGTATACGAATAAAAATAAAATACCATATTGGATTGAAAATAAAAATCAAATTATAGATTTTTTTTATAGAGGGAATCTTTATTAAATAGATATATTTTATATTTTGCCATTAAAGTTATTCTACAGTGATTTAAAATCGATTTCATAAACTCAATTCTTTTATATCATAATATTACAAAAAACTAGGTTGTAATATTCACTAAACTTTTTTAACGATGTATTGGATATTTAGCAGCACTTTATTGAAAAAAAACGAGGGCGTAACTTTATATAAGTATTGGATTTTTTTATAAAACCCCTAAAAACCAACAATTATACATTTATTGTCTCATATTTAAGGATAAAATCGACGATGACAGACAAATATAATAGAAGTAAAAATAACGTAAAAAATTTAATTTTTACTAAATATTATTAAATACGTAAGAAAAAATTAGTTTTTATTAATTACATTTTTTTGAGAATATAAAAAAATCATATCATCATCATCTCATTCATTTCTCATCATTAACTCATACATTTTAAATGTCTAATTTTGTTATTTAAAAGTTAAATAATAGAAATTAAATATTAGAATTTTAATATAGTAAACATTAAGTTAGCATTATACATTATTTTCTTGCAATGTTTTTAGCTACATTTTCTGAACTTCCGTATTTCCTCTTTCTGTTCTTTTTTTTATCTCATCTTTTCTTTATTTTTTCGCAATTGCTTATCACAATTCTTATCTATCTTACTTATTTTTTATTTTTACATTCGTCTCTCTTGAGTTGCGTGAGTATACAGAAATGTGGGATCAATAGGGTGGAGGGTGTGGGAGCCACCCTCGCCACTATTCCATGACTCATAATACACATTTGTTGGAACCCATGGTACGTTTACCCCGTGACTCTTGGTTTTTCAAACTATTTTTATATGATATATCTTTTTATTTATTTTGACTCTCCGAAAGCACGTTTTTCTTATTGATTGTTTTCATAAACAGTACCTCCCTTTACTACTTTTGTTACTGCAGACTGAGCTGTGCCAGAATCTAGGAAAAGGAGAAGAATAGGAAAAAATAAACGAAGCATTTTCATCTTAAAGAGGATGAATTTTTTCAAGCTTGAGAGCTAGACTCTCGGAATCTCGGAATTATGTATCTTTTTTTATATATATATTTTATAACTTTTAGAATTGAAAAAGAATATTTATTTTATAAAATTTTCTGAAAATAAAAATATAAAGAAAATTTTTCCACGAAAGAAGGGATTTTGTTTTAATATATTTGTTGCTTTACAACATAGTATAATCCGAGAAATCGGTTTTTTCTTAAATTTTTTCATTGTTCATGTTTCATTCTAGAATTTTTATCTTTTTATATTACGCTTCAATTTTGACATATTTGCATCTGGAGGATGATTATACTCGCAATATTCCTCTCTATGTGCAATATCCTCTATATAATTTATTTAAGAAAGATTATTTTTGCATGCTCGTGCAACCCTTGATATAAAAAGAAACAATTATATTAAAAAAAATCGAAGCTCGAAATATTAAAAGGGAGTATTATAAATATTAATATTTTTGAAGAATTGATTTTATTGGATTTTATTGATATTGCATTACAATTTGATTGTTTATTTAATTCTGGCCATTCTCTTGCCAACGCACCTTTTTGGACAAGCTCACACCGCAATGAGTCATAGCTTGTCGATGCGTTTCCCGTGTATCGACCTGCGACACGAACGAAACGTACGATTGGTTGACAGAAGTTCACCGTAATAGCGAATTCACGGCTGTCACCCCGCGGGAAGGAATCGATTCAATAATGGAATATAATTTAATTTGTTTCTCCATCAAATCACATAATCGATTTGCAGAAGAAGAAATAGTGACGTCATCCGATGAATTATGAGCATCGTTGTCATTGATACTTGGGGCACTTCACTCGACGACATTATCCAAACACTGTTTCATTTTTATATCAAGGGTTGAAATGATTATAATATTGATAGATCAGATTTCGATCCCACGAGCATGCAAAAATAATCTTTCTTAAATAAATTATATAGAGGATATTGCACATAGAGAGGAATATTGCGAGTATAATTATAAACTTTGAATATTTAATATATTTCAATTATATTTAAATACATATATGCGATATGTTCGTGTTATTTTTAATAAATATTAAATTTATGTAAATATATCACACGATAAATAAAAAAACATTTTTTATTTAAAGATGTAATAAAAAGAACGTATAGATGCTAAAAACGAGTATAAGATCATTTATTTTCAGAATTATTAAATTTATTAATATTTTTTTTATTAAACTTATGTATATTACATATACCTTTCTATTTCTTGCATATATTGTATCGAATGCTTGAAGCTCAATATATTACGATATTATCTCGAAATGATCTTAAAATTTAATAAAAATCAAATTAAAATAATATGTATAAATATATGTATAAATATTTAAAACATACATATATATAAAATAATTTTTTATATTGTATTATTAAATATTAAAATATATATACGCAGAAATATTCAAGATGATTAAGGGAAATTATTCGCATTCTTCGTTCTGCACATTTTTTCGTCTGTAAACATTAGGACCGAAGGACATTTAAACGTTATATCTCTAGTGTGACTCAGGCTGTGTACAAATTCGCTGAATAGACCTGAGTTCGCAGTACGTCAAATATGCGATACGCAATCCTGCTTCGCAATCAGCGGCGTTATCGGCGTTCGTTATATCCGGCGTGAAGGAAAAACGGAATCTAATAATCAAGCGCCGAGATGCCAGGCGCGCGGGTATATCTTGGAGGATTTGAAAAGAACGACTCGATCGATTTGATTGCCCGTCGCCGTTGCTTCGACGCCGAGGCGCGCCGTTCGTACCACGGCCTGTACGTTCGAGAGGTTCGCGGTTCGCGACTATCACCTGCGCTACCGGTTCTCCGTTATTTCATTGCAAATTACTTGCTGAACCACGAGCCGCGTTATACAGTTATCACAATGAGAAAGTTGTTCCGATCCGAGACGTAGAGACGCACGAGTGAGTTCGTCCGTGCGCGATTGCGACTCGAGTGTGACTCGAGTCGGGTTCACCGCGCGTAAGCGCCGTAAACCTTGAACGAATGGAAGAAAATCGCCGTGGAAATCGCGAATTAAATTTACCGTTTAAGCGCGATAGCGGTCCGTGGAATTGCCTCTTAGCGCGCGATAGCGGTCCGTGGAATTGCCTAATTCTCTTCTCCTCTTTTTTTTATTCTCGTTCGACCCTCTTTTCCTCGGGAAATTTTTCTATTTTCTGACTACGATATCACCTTTTGATTGATTGAGTAGTATGATGGCGTTATTTTTATACTTTTCATGTGAAGAATCCTCCACAAAGAAGTGATAGATCGATGAAAGAAGACGGGAGACAAGAAGCCGATAATTAAAAGGTCAGAGTTCGCGGAACGGAAGATTTGACAAATCTAGATTCCGCAAATGTATTTGTTAAAATTTTATACGATTGTTACACAAACAAAAGTTTTCACAAACGAATTTTTATTAATTTTAAAGGCTTTTATTAATTTTAAATGTTTAGAAAAATGATGAAAGAACTCGAGATTTCTACATGATTTTGGGAGAAAAAGTAAGGGAAAAAAACCAGTAGAAGGCGATAAAATTTCTTTTGATCTAATTTAATTGCTCGAGCTGATCCATCCACGCGTTTACGGGGCGCAATTGAGATGATGATTGAAGATTATTATCTCACTTATAGGGAGAGAGTTAATCTTACTTGTTTATTAAGTTATTCACGGTCGAGTGGAGAAAATTCCTTGCGCGATTTCCTTCTTCCATTCCGCGCCGTTCGGCTTTACCGAACCGCAAATCGCGTACACGTGACTCCGGTATTCCGGTCGAGATCTCGTCCCTTTTCTTTTTGCTGCGCTGCAACGTGGCAAGGTGAGACATCGCGAGAGGACTCAGAAGGACGCGCACGCATCGCGTATGGCCACGTAAGAAGTCGCGTGGCCCTTGAATAGCCGCTCGTTGGAAATGAAAGTAAGTTTCGAATGCCGGCCGTGTGGACCGAGAATCATTCGTCTCTCTCTATCGCGCTGTAGCGGCGACCCGATTTATCCTTAAGCCAGCGCCGTGGTATAAATGTCGAAAGATAGGATCGTCCTTGAACGATAAAGCTCGCATTCCATCTTAAATAGAGAGAAAGAGAGAACTCAAAGATATCTCAGCTTCGAAATTGATAATCTAAATCTTTTCTGAATTCTTGTAGAATATGGAAGAAAAAGATTTTTTTTTAGTAAGAAAAAGAAAGAACGAATTTTATAGTATTAGGGAACTGTGTCATGGTGCAACGTCAGTTTCGCAATTGGCGAATTTAATGCAACACTGAGATAAAGAAATGGGACAAAAAGATTTTAAAGAACTTTATTATTTTATAAATAAAATTATCGATTTAAATTTAAATTATAATGTTTATTATTATAATGATTAGTATGATTTTGCATTTGTTATCTCATCATAATAAAGATGTGGAAAGAGGAAGAGTTAGTGAGAAAATTGCTACATGAGTCTGGTTTACAAACGTACAAGGCAGACAGTTATTATCTCTATACATCTTGCAGATATATTGAAAATTAATTTGTAGAATGCTAAATAATAGACCATCAAAATTGCAAATGTAGGCACTAACTTCATTTATATACTTTACTTTGGATAACTATAAACGGTAGTATGTCCAGTTTCACTTTTCGTGCCGAGCCGCTAAACGACGTTCAGAAATCTTTCCGCGCACGTTGCTTGCGAAATTCCTCATTGTCCCGGTGGTGATGGAAGAGGTGGAGGTGGAGGAGGAGGAAACGAGGGGCGTATGTGTGCCAAGAGGTTTTTCTCAGTCGTCGACCGCGATAGATACGGTCGGATTGTTCGTTCGACGGAGAAAAGTCTTCACTCTCTTGCCGGCAAAATCGACAATTTAGACAAACATATTCTAAGAAATTGAAAGAAAAAAAAAGGAAAAACTTTTCCCTTTCGTTAAGAATAAGTCTTAGCTCTCAAAGCTTTCTTGTATGTACTTACTCAAACCATGATTATCTCATGCCTCTTTTTCTGATCTCTTCAAAATATATAAAATAATCCACATCATTTCCTTTTAAATTTGTAATTTTTCTAAATACTTATTGTATCTGGAATATTTTACAATTCAATTTTTATAATATTAGCGCAAGCTAATTAATTAATATAAACGTAGAATATTTTAATGTAATTAAAATACTGAAAATTAAAGGACATTTTTATTAATATAAAAATATATTCATATATTTGTACATTCGTATGTTCTATTTAATATAAGTTTGTAAATTAATCTCATATTTTATGTATTATAAATAAATAAACATTGATTTTTTCTATCGTTTTTTTTCTTTTTATGCTTTCAGGACCAGTTCGAGAATCTGTCCCTGCACACACAGAAAGGGATAGAATTTCTCGAGAGGTATGGCCACTTCATACGTGATCGTTGCGCGATCGAATTCGAATATGCAGCGAAGCTCAGGTGAGAAACGTAATATCTAAGATCATAAAGGGATACGGAAAATTTAGAGGGATGAATTTTTAGAAGTACCCGGATATTTTTTCGAGGTACTATATTCCATATACAAAATGTGAATATTGACTGAGTATAAATTTTGATTTATTATATATAGAGATATTTAAACATAAATTATACTTAAAAAACATTAAGATTTTTTGATGATCTGAATATTTCTTTGAATTTTTTAAATAATTTATATTTCAAGGATTTATCACGATATTAATTTGGAATATTCTGCATTAGAATTTTGTTATATAAAGAACTGCGAGATAAAGATTTGAATCTATCTCTGTCTTTTTATATATATTATTTGTAACATAGTTATTTTTATTTACTAATTTTTTATTTGTTTTTCTTTTCTTTATTATTAATTATTCGTTTATATTTTATTAAAGATAAAAAAAACAGTGAAAAAAAATAGCGCAGTCGTATTTTTCTTTACTTTTGAAAATAATTTAAATCGACAGAGAGAAGGGAGGAGGGGAGAGGCCAATGACAGGTGTGTGGGGTCCCTGCTTTCGTATATCTTGCACCTTGCACCCTGTCGTGCGACTCGACGTGCTCAACGTGTATGATACTTTTTTTTTTAAAGTGCCTTGACAAAGGATGAGACATACGAGGCGAAATGATTTCAATGGGACATTCTATGTAACGAGCGTGTCTCACGCACCCCATGGGTTCAGGGACGAGGCGAGATCTGTAGCGACTAATATTGTGTTAAAGGAGTTCCTTGTCCGTCCTGTGAATGCCGTCCACTGTGGCGCACTTTTGTTCTATCGGGTGTCTCGAAATCCATTCACTCCGGACGCTTAATTACTCCGTTTTGCATTACGCTTAATTACTTCATCGTACGTCCCAAGATGTGCGCTGCGTGCAACATTAGTCGTAATTAATTCCGCCATCTGCTCTTTGGCATAATCTACGAAAGTGGATCGAAATTGTACTGAAGGCTTATTGAGGTGTAAATATTTTTATCGTTCCTTCACGAAAAGAACGGTCGAGATACCTAAAAGTTTAACCAGGATTTGAAATAATTTTAAATCATCAAAAGAATCATGCAAAATATATGATTATATTACAAAAATTTTTGACATTTCGGCAATCAATTTGAATATCCCACGTGATTATTTTGATGCCAGCGAAATTATTTGTAGATCTGTATACGATTAAATTTTTAGATATTTCAGCAAAACTGTTCTTTCCTTGTGTTATTTTCCGACGCAGCTTATAATCGGAATTTATAATCAGGCGTTCTATCATAATGAAAAACATTTGAAAATTATTAACTTCGCGTGACTCGACGTCTTGATTTTTGATGAGGAGCTTAGTTGTAATAATAATTACTTTTAATATAATCAATTATTGTAACGCAATTGAATGCTTACATGGACCGTAAGTTGCATGAATTCGCAATTAAATTTGCATGCCTGATGAGGAAACTGATGAGAAAATGTGCGTTTCCGACTGTTAGAATCGATTTTGACGAAGGGATTAATTAGAGCTGACTATGCAACGGCGAGAAATGATTTCACGCGCTTCGCCGCGCACGTTCGCTCTTGCCGGTGCATACGAATCACCGCACCGTCCTTCGTTTTAATGCGCTGCAATTTCCACGTCTAGCGCGACCCTTTATTCGCTTTCGTATAAAACCGCGGCGGCCAGCGCACGCGTATTCCAGGACGATTTTGGGAAAATTGTAACATCCGAAAAAAATTACTTCCGGTTAGATAACCGGAAGATCATCCGTAACAGTATCCGGTTACTCGCGGAACTCGCTCGAGAAGTAATTTCGCGCGTGCATTTGGCTGACCCTTTGGAAAATTCTACAATTATATTTTATTTTGCACACGAGATCTATTCTTGTATAAGCGATTTGCCGCGCCGGCATCTTTTTGTTTATTCTCTTTTTTTTTTTTTTTTCTGCCTGGAATCCTCTTCGCGTCGCTTTGATATATCAAGGGCGCGTAGAGATTCAACGTGTATAGTATATTTATAGACCGACGTGTGGCGCAACGTAAAAATCAAAACGGCACGCCCAGATCTGTTTTAATCTACGCCACAACCGAAAATAATTCCGCACACTCGCGATCTGATATTTCTTCGATTATTGCGCCGCGGCATAGCTCGCGATTTGACCTCTCGATGCACTCCGACGGATTGGAATGACCGCGTAAGTCATCAAATAAATTTCTGCTTGTACGCACCAATAATTTCTCCCATAAAAGGAGGAGAGTTGAAATGTGTGAAAATTGCGAGATATAATTCTGAGCATGCTGTCACATATTGTCATTACAATATTATAATTATATTTAATTATATTTATATTGAAAAAGCAGTTTTGCTAAAGTGCTTAAAAATTTGGCTAGACAAAAATTTGAAAATAATTTTGCTAAAGCCATCAAAATAATTCTAGAGGAATAAACATGATAATTATACCATTTTAATATTTTAGCAACTAATTTGAATGTTTTATATAAATATATATTTCGATAGTAACAAAATTATTTTTAAATCTGCACTTGGCTAAAGTTTTGGACACTTTAACAAAATTATTTTTTTCGTGTAAAATATAATTTTGTTTGTTCAAAAGAAATTAGAGTTCAACGATTCAAAAGAATTACCAGTTGAATAAAAAAAAGTCGTAAACGAGAAACCCTGAGGTAATATAGAGATCGTTTCTCTAGGTAGTTTACTTCCGGGTAATCCAATAGTTTCTGCTATTTGCCTGATGTTATCGGCGATGTCATTTCACCTTCGTGAGAAGCGTGCATCAATAATCTCATTTTTCCCTTCTCTGTTGCAGACGTCTCGTGAAGAGTTATCAACCGAAAAAGAAGGAGGAGGAGGATTATCAGTAAGTATAAAGCCACTCTCTCTTCTCGAGTTACCGACGATCTTAGATAGGTTATTAAATCCGTTTTTGTGTACCAAACATCAAAGAATAACAAACATATATTTAAATTGTCTGTGGCCGAGATAAATTACACCACTGTGGCTAATCGGGAGAAGTAGGTAATTGCACATGACGAATGGAGTAGTAATATCCCTTCTTGCGGTGATTATTTTTGAAGGCAAAAATAGTATAACTCAGTATATTTCGGTATATTTTTCAATATATTTTCCAATTATGAAGTTTCATGGTATATATAATAATTCATTCTCTAATCGTATACAACGCATTGGAGTTTGTTGTAGTTTTCGAATATAATCGAGATTTATTAAATTAAAAAATATTTGGTAGATATTTTTTCTATACTTTTATATGAAAAAAAAATAATTTTGTAGGGCCATCGAAATAACTTCATAAAACAATAAAGTCAAATTGATTGCTGAAAAAATTTTTACAAATTTATTATTTAAATTCATTATGTTTAAATGGAATTACAAAATTATTTGGTAACTCTTACAGAATTATTTTGATAGTCTAATATAATTATTTCCTAGATGTTTGACCCAATTTTTAGATATTTTTAGGTAGTTTTAGGTAGTTTCAGTAAAATTTTTCTTTCTCTGTGTACCAATCTTCAGAGTTATTCTTTCATGGATTCTGAATTCCATAAAACTATAATTAATTTTCTAACTGGACGCACAGAATGTGCAGCGCGCGAGTAATTAAACGCGTATAGAACTATAAGAGTATAGATCAGGGTTAAAATAAAACAGGAATTAAGGTAAAATCAGGGATAAAATAAAGCGACTTTTGCCTCGATGAAATTTTCCGTCAACTTGTTTGCGCTTTTCATTTCCATGAAAAAATCTTTCATCCGTCAATTGCAAAACGTTCAACACAAACACGTTTTGCAAAGTTTAATGGGGGAAAGAAAATAGAAGCAACCTGCTTATCTCGCGACCTAGAATTCACTCCTGATTGAAATTAGAAAGTTACAATCAATTTTTGTGCATTAGAACCGTGATATTAAAACCTTATATCTTAAATTCTTGTTCTGTCTTTTTTTTTTGTATATTTAATCGTCAGATCTCTTTTAGAAATCTATCAAGACTTTAACATTCTTCGAGAAAGAGCTGGAGCTCTATTAATTATGTTGAAATTTTAAATGATTATTCTAACGTTGCAAAGAATATATGTCGCAGGTGAGATGAGTTCAATAACTTGGTAAAAGAGATTCTTGCGCTCCCGGTCGGTTCTTTATAGAGCAGTATAAAGAATGCGTCATACAAATCGGCGTGGGCCGAGATTTAGGCCTCTCGCGTTCTGCGAAAGCAGTCTGTGTTGGCGTTGGTGTAGATTGGAAATTATTCTTGTCTAATATGCAAGTTTTATATTAAATTATTTAAAAAAAATACAATTATGTTAACTTTATTTAAGGCAAGAGTCTGCCTTATATAAAGCGTGTAAATTGTGTAAAGTAGCTAGGCCATTAATATCTCTTGACAAGAGAAATGAGAAATTTAATGATTAAAAAAATGACGAAAAGTAAAGTATCGAACGAAAAATTCAGGGTGTGGTAATGAAAGAATAAAAAAATAGAAGGCGAACTTGAAAATATGAAGGAAATAGTAAGAAAAGAAAAGACTAGGAATTTTAATTAAACGGCGATGAACTTTAAAAACAATGGAGAAGGGAGAT